CATAGGATGAACTACTTCAAAACTGCACATATGTGTGCATGCACACAGAGGAAAGAGCAAAACAAGCTTTGCGGTTTTCTATGAAAACGACACTAGGAGAAACATTGTCCTTAAGCTATGAGGAAGTAGATGAAATGTCTCCCCAAACTCCACAAAACAGTAGTAAAACCATCTCACGGAAATTAAAGGAATTTTCAGGGTGGACATTTCGAAGCCCCTTATGAATACAAAATTAGCACACCCTGACGGGAAGAAGAGGATTCTGTTTAAGCGGGAAGAGACGAGGTGCCAGTGTACCGTCTTTCTACAGTGGCTCACATTTTGAAGCACAACTCATTCATCACAATGAGCAAAATTACAAAGTGGCTGAAAGAAAGGTATCATGGTTTCAGTGTTGCCCAAAACACTTTGTACAAGGAAAAGAAAATCCAGAACTACGCATGGCTGCAACACACACACTCATTACATGTTACTTATAAATCCGAAGTCACTGTAATACAGACATAAATTTCATTCATTGCTATCCTAATACTGTGACTCTGGAATAAAAATATACGTCATTCAGCACCCTGGGGAAACAGCTCATGGTGTAACATCCCTGAAGTTAAAGTCAGAAGGGGTCAAATATGGTGTGTGAGCTTGGACTGGAAGGAGGCACCACGACCTCAGCTCTACTGAACTTCCTGGCTCTTTAGCTGCTGGAGAAAGAAAATCCCTCTGACTTCCTAAAGTCACGGCGAAGGCAGATGAACTAGCATACCACATAAAAGCATGTAGTACACCACTGTAGCTCGGTTTTCATTTTCCCTTCCTGTCCATAAAGTAATGAGACTTTCTCCCCATGGAACTGGACTTTATTGCTTTGTAATTATGATGTACATGTAACAATGTTCAGGAAACTAGATGGTAAATAACACCGACATCCGAGCCTGAATGCACACGCTGTCAGCTGGCTATCATCGAGACCCCGAGGGGCTCCTGCACGCTACCTATTGCATCCCAGAAATATGACACATTTTCCTTTCCGAATACAGCCAGAATTAGCCACCAGCTTTGAAATATCACTAGCACGATGCTGCAGGGAGCAGCTGGTTGATTGAAAGTGACGCCCCTCCCCCACTCTCCAGCTGTCACCGGGAAACCCCTCTCAGTGTGTGAAAATGACAGTATTACTAGCACTACTAGTAACAAGCTCACAAATGGTTAGGTTTGAAATTATTTTTATGGGGAGTCATTATTCAGTAAAAATTAAGTAAAACAAAAATAAAACAAAACAAAAACTACTTTACCATATGAATGAAAAGCAGATACTGTCCTACAACAAAAACACTGTGGCTTGTATACACAAGTAACACTATATACTTTCTTTTGACTCACTGTTTCTCTTCCCCTGTCACTTATGATACTAAATAAGTTAAAATACGAAGCAGTTTTTAATGCAGATACAACTGTCACAGTGTAAGAGGGATTTTTAAAAAGCTGTGGGGTTTCTTGTTGTTTGTTTTTCTGCATGGAATCCTATTTCTGTAACAATACAGACTGAAGACTGTATTTGTTCAGGTTTTTGTTGCTGTTTTTATTACTTTGGTTTTAAATAATCACCCATGTCTCTGGATGAGAACTCAGACATATGCTTGCCCTGGTGACAAATCGAGCAACATGTCTAAGGATTCTAACATCATAGTTTTGAGTATAGAGCCCTCTTGGAGCTATGTCACTGACAGTGACTCATACATAGATTCCCAGAATCCCATTCTCTAGACACATTCTGGATCAGCAGTCTGTATCTTCCACCCCCACAGAGATCTTGAGTCTTTTGACATTTGAACTTTCTATGTAAATTTCTGCTTAAGAGGCTCCAAGTCAAAACAAAATAAACAAACAAAAAACCTGAGAATCTCGGCTTAGATGGAATAAAGGTTCCATCACATGAAATCTTTTAAAAAGCAATTTCAAACTTCTAATGACTTTTAACAATAATTTTAATGTAGTATACATATATATTATTACGTATACGTATATATAGTGTATATATATTATTAATACGTATATATTAAGTGTATAGATTATTTATTCTTAAATTTGTTCCTGACCCTCATACTACAAAATAAACAAAAGTATAGCCCACTATGAATTCTTCTAAGTATACTCCATGTTCATACATTTATAGCTATGTAAAAACATGAAGAAAATATAACGACTTCGACTTTTTTTTTAAAAGTAGAACACACCAGTGTTCTAGGTAAAGTATATATATTGAAAAAATATTGATTATTTCAAGGCCAATAACATTCTTATGCATTTATCTGTAGAGGTATCATTGTCTATAACATAAAAGGCATCATATGACAGAGAAATCCGTACCCAAAGAAATCAGGTATAAGATAATCAAAGACATCTTGATGTTAATTAGCTCTAATCTTCTGGAAATTATGAAAACAATGTCTAGAAATCACTGATGATGAAATAACTAAGGCTTTGCTACCAAGCTGAGAGGTAATGTTCTCCAAGTATTGGCTTTCTTTCACAATATTACACAGCCTTGACTCTCACTTGAAAAGAGCAGCGGCCAGGTAATAAAATGACCTTGTGTATAAAGATGATTAGGAAATAAACAGGGCAGTCAGCATGAAATTGACAAACATTTCTTCCCCTTCCAACAAGAGACATTGTCTACCATAATGCAGTAACATTAAATAAGAGTTAACACACTGTCTCATTTAACGTAGGCACCTCAGATGCTGCTATGACTTCCACTTTACAGGGGGAGAAATTAAAACTGGACAGATGCTAATTTGTCTGTAGGCCAAAATCAATGCACAGGGTGGGGACAGGACTCAAGCTGGGTTGGTCTGACCCAGAACCATAGCTACCCATCTTTCTCATACAGAGAGTAAGAAAACATGTGGAGCCTTTGAAAAACAATTGTTTCGTGATGGGACTGAATCATTTTGGTGGTAAGGTTAACTGATACTGACAGAAACTGATATTACAAGCAGCATATTTACATGAAAATTTACTCCCTATGGTATTTCAGTGTCTCAGGTACTGAGTACCAGTGCTCCCCAGTCAAAGCTGTATATTATACAGGCCACAGTTAGTTGCTAAACCTTTTCAATACTGTAACAAAGTCCAGGCTCTAGGGCAGCCGCTTCAAATTCCGAATGATTCTCTCTTCCCCTAGGTGGACTCTTGGAGAAAGGAATAATTCTGAGAAAATGCTACATGTAGCAACTTGAAGACTATCAACAGGTTGAGAGCCTGTCTAACTTAACTGTGAGTCTTCAAATAAAAACAGACATGAGGCCTTCTTTGCTAGGATGGAGCTGTATGACGTATGAGTACAAAAGATAAGGATAGAGACATCATCAGCTTTGGCTTTGGAGTGCTAGCCACTCCTCTATGTTTCTTTTCAACTCTGTTCTGGCCTTTACCAAATTCTAGGTCAACTTTTTGTATAACTAAGCTGAAGAAACAAGAAAACCAAAAAACCTTAAATTACCTTGTCACAATTACTATCAGTCCATTTTCTAAAATGCTACAGTGTAAATAATACTAGTATTAGTGCCTACTGCTGTAACTTTCCGGTGTTGTTTTGATTTTCTGGATAGTGCCTCATTATGCATCTTAGGCTGGCCTCCAACTTCTGCTTTCTCCTGCCCCAGCCTCCAGAATACTAGAATTAGAGGTGTAAGCCACCACATCCAGCTAAAAAGTTGTCCTGTGTCTAAATTCTCAGTATTCAGAATGTGACAGGATAAAAGAAATATCTATATGCAGCAGCCACAAAATCCATGAACTCCCAACTCCTATCGACCCTACAATCTGCCCTTCTTCCACAATCTATGTGCTTTCCTCATAAAAATCTAGTAACTTAGCAATGCCTGACTTTTGAGTAACATAACATGCGTCAGCACTACCTTCTTGTTTGCACTTGGAATGCTTAACACTATGACGTCACAGTTAAGCAACTTCACCTATTCAATCATTTGTGTCTTTAGCAAGTAAGTACTTTTTATGGCTAGGCTGTTCATGAAATCCAGCACCCAGAAGCACTGGAATGGACCCGAAGGCTTGCTCAAAGGGCTGTTGACACTAAAATCCGTACGGCCAACAATTTTCCAGAAGATGCTGATAATGTGGCAACTCCGGGACCAAAGCAGGACTATTCTGTGAGGATCACCTGATCTCCTGGAATGAGTGGAAGCAGAATCAGTAACAGAAGCAGGAAGTAGGTAAAGGAGGTTAGGACTTAGAAACAAAAAGTAGAGAGGTATGATAACACCCCACACAACAACAAAGTGGGTGCCACGAACCTACTGAAAGGGACTTTAAGACAGACTGACAAATAAATCTTAATTGTGCAACAATCAGATATTAATAGCTTTAAAAAAATACTTAATGCCTTGTTTGGAACAACAGAAACGCATACGATACGAGTTTTTTGTATGGGCAGAAAAGAGATGAGTCCTTCAGGTGTATGTCTGTCCCCTATAACGTGGAACAGCCTTTCAGACGTTAGTATGGGTTTGTCTATCGAGACCGAAGCAGCAGTCCCCACAAACACCTGCTACTATAAGCTCTGTGGCTGATGCAATTTCGCCTCAAACTTGCCGATATCAGAGGAACCTATCAAAAGCCCACTTCCAAGCGGGGAAGCCCTGACTTCCAAGCGTTCGGGCAAGCGATCAGGGTGAGACCGGCCCGCGTCTCCTCCCCCACCACCACCAGGCCCCTGTTCCCCCTCGACCCCCATCCCCAACCACCCTGAGCCTGAGGGAATAAGAAGACCCAAACCAGCCCGGCCGGTTCTGATCTCCCACCCGGTTCCAAAGCAGCGCTTCCGCCCGGCGGACCCTAGCCCCAAGGCAGCGCTTCCGCCCGGCCTACGCCAGCCCGGATCTCAGCCCCGGCCCCTCCATCTCAGGTCCGGAAAAGCCGCGACACATGCCGCACAAAAGCGACTCCCAAAACTCAGCCGAACAGACGCGGAAACTCACTCTCTCTAAGACCCGCCTGCGTCCTCACGTATTCCCGCGTATGCGCGTCATCACGCCCGGACTCCGAATCCCGAGGCTCCACTTCCCGCACGGACGCCGATTCCGGAAGCTCCTCTTCCGGCGGCTGGGGAAAGAAGCACGCTGGCCGCGCATGCTCAGTGCTGTTTACGGCCTTTCTCGGGTTCCTCTAGCTAATATATAGGGATCGTCCAGCTCAGCACTCAGGAACAACGATGTCAGCGTCCTCTTACCGCCAAAAATAACCAAAGACCACTTACCACACCCAGAGCGCATTAGTCCTGCCTGTGGCCCGCTCCCTCAAGGTGGAGAAAGTTCATTTCTGGCCCAGTGCAGCCTGAGACGTGAACAGGGGAGACACTGCCTGCTCCACTCGGGCCGGAGAGAGCCGCTTATCTCAGAAAGTAGGCCAGAGAAACAAGGCCGTGGTGTACGTTTCGGTTCCCCAGGCACAGTTCCGAGGCTGCACTGCTTTGCCTGTTTACTGCTTGAAGGGCTTGAGGTATAAGGTATTTGAGTCTTAGGTCATATGATGCAATTTCCCTTCTGCTTCTAGTGTGGAACCGGTTTCGTGGGCAGTGTAGAAGCCAGCTTCAGCTAAAGACTATGCTGCATTAATTTCATACAAGTAGACGGTCTTTGACATGAATTTTTCAAGTAATTGGAGGAAAGTTTCACTTTTTCAGGGCGCGAATTGGGTGCAGGTAGCCTTTTGTTTATTTACCGAAGGTTTTATCAGCCGTGTTTAGTTGGTCGGTTAAAACTTATTGTGCCACAAAAGTTTATTTTCTATTATTGTATAATAGAATAACTCTTCCTAGAAATGTTTATCTTAGGGTTGGAATGTAAGTGAAAATGTGGCTCATTTATAGGAGATATATTTGAGACTGTGAAATGACAAAATTAGCAAATTCAAGGATGAATTCTTGAACCTTATAATTTAACTCTTTTAAGGTGAAAGAATATGTTGGTCCAAGACTGACAGTGAGAAACTGCATTCCTGAAAACAGACGCCCACATGAACAGGGAGAAGTAATTTACACTAAATATATATCTCCTTAGGAAAAATAGGCGCAATTTCTCAAATACAGGGACTCCCTGTTTTTTCCTTCTGATCAATCATAATGCATCCATTCTATTAATATACTCCTTGTTATGCCCGTGTCATGAGTCCCCTTCCCCCAGAGACCACCAGGAGTCTGGAGTCCATATGGAAAAGCAAAGTCTTTCTTATGAAACTGGAACTTGAACTCTCTCTTCTGACACAGCGGTTGGATCAGGGAGCCCTGAGCTTACTGAGGCAGGATTTTTGAGAAGTAACAGATGGGTAGATAGGGAAATTCCAAAATCAGATGAAGGTTGAACTGATTGGGCAGAAGTGAGGTAACAGTTTTGTCAAACAGGGATTGGTACTGGTGCTTCTACAAGAAAACTGGCAACCTATATACAAGTTCAGGAAGCTATTTTTTTTTCTTTTTAACATACCAATCCCAGATTCCCCTTCTTCCTCTCCTCCTGCTACCTCTCCCCACCCACCCGCATCCACTCCTCAGAGAGGTTAAGGCCTCCCCTGAGACGTCAATAGAACTGTCCCATCCCCTTCTTGAGGCAGGACCAAGGTCTTCCTCCTCTCTGTGCCTAGGCTGAGCAAGGTATCTGTCCATAGAGAATGAGCTCCACAAAGTCAGTTCATGCATTAGAGTTAGATCCTGGTCCCCCTGCCAGTGACTTCATCTATCCACAGAATCTGCTGACCCAAATTTGTGGAAGATCACTGACTCCTGACTGACAACTGGGGAACCTGTTGTCACCAAACTAGGCCCCCTGAATACAGGTGACAGTGGTGTGGTTTGGGCAGGTAAGGTATTCTTAATGTTCTAGAGCATCTAGTACTTTTTTTTTTTGTCTCAATTCTGATTGGTCCCCCGCAGGGCACTATCTAAGCATTTCCTGATTACTGTAAGGGTGAGGCCTAGTCCCAGTGTTGTTAGTTTGCAGCCTGTCATGGCTGCACTGATGTTAAGTTGGACCTCTTCACTCCTATCTTCTCTGCTCTGCCACCCTCAACACTTTTCTATACTTACATTGTTTTTGTCATTATCATAAGTCACTAAATGCAGAGGTGACTTTAGAAGAGCCAGAAATCAAGTTCCAAATCAGTAATCTCAAAAAAAAGATACATTTGTCGATAGGGCTTAGGAGTGTGCTTAAGGAGCAGGGTATGAGGATACACACCAATAACCCCAACAGTTTGAAGGTAGAGATAGGAAGAACGGGAGCTTGAGGCCAGCCTCAGTTACATAACTTCAAGACCAGCTTAGGCTATATGAGTACCTGTCTCAAAAAAAAAAAAAAAAGAAAAAGAAAAAAAGGAAATGAAAACATTTCTATCCTATTTTAATATAAGTAAAATGTTTCATTGGCATTTGAGAAGACAGGACAGAGACTTTTGTTTTGGTTTTGGTTTTTTTTTTTTTGAAAATGACTTTACCATGTATGATGGCAAATGCCTGTAATCTCAGCACTTGAAAAGTAGAGACAAGATTATCAGGAGTTCAGAACACCCACCGGTGCATCGCAAGTTCAAGTCTATCCTGGGCCACATGAGACCCTGTCTCAAAACAGTGCTCTCTCAGCCTGTGTGAAATGATTTGCTGAGCAGGATAGACTTTAAAAGTTCTAGGTAAGATGAGCCTTTTGTATCATGCCAGGATCCCTTCTAACTTGACAGATGTCACCTGGGTCTTAATTTCCTAGCCTAAATTTAATAGATAGTCAGTAGATTCTTACATGTAAACAAGACTTTTAAAATGCTGAAGTATCACTAGGTGGTGGTGGCACACACCTTTAATCTCAGCACTTAGGGCGCAGAGGCAGGTGGATCTCTGTGGGTTTAAGGTCAAGCTAGTTTATAGAATGAGGTCCAGGACAGCCAGGGCTAAAAAAAGCAAAAACCCAACAATACTAAAGAATCAATGCCAGAATAAGTCCTCTAACATAAAAAAGCACACAATTGTTACATTACCTTGTAAAATATGATTTATTTTTTGTTTTAATTTTTTTACTGCAATACAACAATGAAGTAAACAGTAATTAGACACCTACCAATTTCCCCCAAACAAATAAAGAATGTAAACAGGAAAATAACCCTGCCTATATATGTACAGCTTCTCAAATTATGTTAGAGCATCTCACATTCAATAATCAGGAAATTTTAAAATAGCAGTAATTATTCTCATTTTAAGAAAATGTCCTCTTCTACCTTCCCTACCCCAAGTACTGAACATGAAGAATGGGCTTCTTTTTACATCAATTTCATATTTATATGAAGCAGCAACAATGACCACCAGTAATTTGGCATTTCTATTTACAGATGCTCCAATTTTTTTTCTGATTTCAAAAAGCCATTATCCAGTGTTGCCTTAAAACAGACTGTAGATTCTAGGTAGCAAAGGTTCAGAAACCAGTGTTAAGTCAAAGAAAAGAAAAAGCAGGGCATCACACTACATTTCTGGATCTGTTACACTAGAAAGAAACCCAGGAAATGTTACCTACTGTTTAGAAGAATAAAGACCTACAAAGGCGGATGTTTGGTTGTCTAGTATTTTACACTGTGTGGCTCTGAAGCAGACATGCATGGTATGCATCCCTTCCCTGTGTCCTAGCTCCCTCCCTCCCACCCCACCAACCTACTACCGTATACCAAATATTGTGGCTATGAGCCCAAGTCACCGCAGACAATCCAGTGAACAAAGTTAGTGTAATGCGCTGGTGTGAGTGAGATACAAAAGAGTCCCTTCAATCTTCGTCAAAGTTCTGCTGCAAAAGAAAGTTGACAGCCAAATTCTCATTCTTCTCACAAGCAAACTAAGCTTGAATCACAAGTCCTTCAGGAAATCCTAGTGCCTTTAACTGCAGCAACTGAGGGTTCTCTCGACCTATCTGCTGTAGCAAAGCTGGAAGCAGGGAAGGATTCTGCTGGATAATTCGTCGCATCTGTTGAAACTGAGTTTGAGTCCTTAAAAATTCAAGGGGGTGACGTCCAGCACTAGTAGCTGTCGTTGCTGTTGTGATTGCTGCAGCTGCTGCCGCTGCTGGAAACTGAGGAGTTCAGTACTCACTGCCTGGGGAGGAGGATCAACCACAGCCCGACTTTATCTCCTGGGATTCCCATTAGAAGATATTCCACATCTCTGTCAGGATTGTTGAAACCCTCTCAGGGCCACAATTACTTGCTCTCGTTCATAGCCCATTGACATGATCTCAGTTACCACATTCTCATAAGACTGACTGACCTGTCACAAGGGCACTTGTTGCATAGTCAAAAAGATTTGACCGGGAAGAATCTGGTGTACTGTCAGCTGATCCTAGGCTAGTTAACTACTGGGGACTGTGCTGGCTTTTCTGCAGCTTTCTCAGACTGGGTTGCACTAGAGGTGCGGGTTCTGAAGATGTTGTTGTTGAGACTGGAGTAGTAGATGCAGGTGTGGAAGTGGGAGCTGAAGCAGGGCTGGGGGCTGGAGCCTGAGTCACAACTGTTGCCACGGAGGAGCTAACTGCAGCCATGGTGGGAGCATTCGATGGCTGAGTTGTCACTGGCACGGGGGCTGTCACTGCTTTGGGTTTTGTCACCATAAGCACCACAAGTTCTTCTCATCAATTTTGTATTCTTTGAGAGCAGTGTCATCACTGGGGATTTTGCCTGCATAGATTAGCTTCTGACCCACTACTGGAAAGGCATCTTTCCCCTTTTCAGATTCAATCTTCTCCTTCAGTGCCACTGTCTCCTCACGGTTGATGTCGATCTGATCTTGAAGGTCTGCTGCTGAGGGGGTCTTAAGAATGACCTGCTTGGTGCCTGCATCAGGGTCGGGATGCCCCGGGGTGGCCGCGATCCTCACGCTCTTAAGAGCTCAAAAGTATTTTAAATGTCAGATAAGATAACAATATGCACATTCCATTTAATATTGACATATATTTATGGTCTAACATGTAGTTTGAATTGTAGCTAAGCCTTGATGGACAAGCAACAATTTTGGTATTAGCCACTTTATTTAAACTAGCGTTCCTAAAATGTGGTGCTTACATCAAAACGGGAGCTGTGGTCTACGTCT